TCATTCATTGCCATTTCCACTGTTGTCCTTGTCCAGGAATCAGGTAGCTTCTTTTGCTGATTTTAGTGTGATGTCTCTTTCCTTCCATTTGACCCGTAGTTGTGCGGGTTACAACAGAGAAAACAAGATTTGTTTTTCCCATAGCTTTTTATTTAAGTCAATGTGCATTGAAATAAAACCAATTTACAATGTTTTATTGAGTTATCAAGATCATTCATGTCGAGGTCTGTGCTCAGGTCAGCGTTGATGTAGATCCGAAGGCCCTCATACATTAAAGGTCCGACTCCTGACTTTTTGCCTTGGATGGCCAGTTGTGAAACGTTATCTTTGTCCCTGTTGGTAAGGAACTTTGATGATGCCCCTTGGTTTGCTGCTCGTGTCCCCTCTCGGGCCGCCTGTTCGATGTGCTCGTTCAGCGGGAGCCCGTGTGAAGTTCTCCTGACCCAGTAGTTGTGGTATTACCTTTTCCAGGAATTCTTCCATTCCAGTTGTTCCACAGCTTTCGGGAAAATGTACGAAATGAAGATTTGATTGCTGATTCAAGTCCTGTTGAATCTTTTTTTCATCTGCTTAGACAGTTTCACATAGCCAGTACAAATTTATATTAGAAGTGTCACTTTAGTCGACTCGGCAGCTACTTGTTCAATTCCAGGCTGTATCACAACCGGCCGTGATTGGGAGTCCCATAGGGTGGCCCAGCGTCGTCCGGGTTTGGGCGGTGTAGGCCGTCATTGTAAATAAGAATTTGTTCTTAACTGATTTGCCTAGTTAAATAAAGGTAAAATAATAAAATAAAACAACTTGGTTGCGTTGTTTCGCTGTGTTTGTTTGTCTCTATTTCTCGATCTAGTATTTGCCAAAACATGCAGTTGCCAACATAACGTTTCAGTTATTTATTGACTTTAGATCGAGTTCTTTCCTATTTAAGAGACATATTTTAGTAAAGAAAGGGAATGCCAACCAGATCACCTTCAACTGACTACCTCATAGTTGCCATACCGGCAATCACTTTTCACCAGCACTTTCACTCTGTCTTATATGGATGGATGGATATATGGATGGATGGATGAGATGAATAATTCCCCAATGTGCATTGAAATAAAACCAGTTAACAAAGTTTTATTGAGTTATCAAGATCATACTGAAGTCTGAATTCGATCTTACTTTATCTTATCTAACTCCTGTGTATTTGGAGTTAAAGGTACAGTGGGGAAAAAAAGTATTTAGTCAGCCACCAATTGTGCAAGTTCTCCCACTTAAAAAGATGAGAGAGGTCTGTAATTTTCATCATAGGTACACGTCAACTATGACAGACAAATTGAGGAAAAAAAATCCAGAAAATCACATTATAGGATTTTTAATTAATTTATTTGCAAATTATGGTGGAAAATAAGTATTTGGTCACCTACAAACAAGCAAGATTTCTGGCTCTCACAGACCTGTAACTTCTTCTTTAAGAGGCTCCTCTGTCCTCCACTCGTTACCTGTATTAATGGCACCTGTTTGAACTTGTTATCAGTATAAAAGACACCTGTCCACAACCTCAAACAGTCACACTCCAAACTCCACTATGGCCAAGACCAAAGAGCTGTCAAAGGACACCAGAAACAAAATTGTAGACCGGCACCAGGCTGGGAAGACTGAATCTGCAATAGGTAAGCAGCTTGGTTTGAAGAAATCAACTTTGGGAGCAATTATTAGGAAATGGAAGACATACAAGACCACTGATAATCTCCCTCGATCTGGGGCTCCACGCAAGATCTCACCCCGTGGGGTCAAAATGATCACAAGAACGGTGAGCAAAAATCCCAGAACCACATGGGGGGACCTAGTGAATGACCTGCAGAGAGCTGGGACCAAAGTAACAAAGCCTACCATCAGTAACACACTACGCCGCCAGGGACTCAAATCCTGCAGTGCCAGACGTGTCCCCCTGCTTAAGCCAGTACATGTCCAGGCCCGTCTGAAGTTTGCTAGAGTGCATTTGGATGATCCAGAAGAGGATTGGGAGAATGTCATATGGTCAGATGAAACCAAAATATAACTTTTTGGTAAAAACTCAACTCGTCGTGTTTGGAGGACAAAGAATGCTGAGTTGCATCCAAAGAACACCATACCTACTGTGGAGCATGGGTGTGGAAACATCATGCTTTGGGGCTGTTTTTCTGCAAAGGGACCAGGACGACTGATCCGTGTAAAGGAAAGAATGAATGGGGCCATGTATCGTGAGATTTTGAGTGAAAACCTCCTTCCATCAGCAAGGGCATTGAAGATGAAACGTGGCTGGGTCTTTCAGCATGACAATGATCCCAAACACACCGCCCGGGCAACGAAGGAGTGGCTTCGTAAGAAGCATTTCAAGGTCCTGGAGTGGCCTAGCCAGTCTCCAGATCTCAACCCCATAGAAAATCTTTGGAGGGAGTTGAAAGTCCGTGTTGCCCAGCGACAGCCCCAAAACATCACTGCTCTAGAGGAGATCTGCATGGAGGAATGGGCCAAAATACCAGCAACAGTGTGTGAAAACCTTGTGAAGACTTACAGAAAACGTTTGACCTGTGTCATTGCCAACAAAGGGTATATAACAAAGTATTGAGAAACTTTTGTTATTGACCAAATACTTATTTTCCACCATAATTTGCAAATAAATTCATTAAAAATCCTACAATGTGATTTTCTGGAAAAAAAATCTCGTTTTGTCTGTCATAGTTGACGTGTACCTATGATGAAAATTACAGGCCTCTCTCATCTTTTTAAGTGGGAGAACTTGCACAATTGGTGGCTGTCACACCCTGGCTCTGGGACTCTATATGTTGACCCAGGGTGTGTTCATTCTATGTGTTATATTTCTATGTTGGGGGTTCTAGTTCTTCTGTTTCTTTGTTGGCCTGAGTGACTCCCAATCAGAGGCAACGAGTGTCAGCTGTGGCTGGTTGTCTCTGATTGGGAGCCATATTTAAACTGTCTGTTTTCCCTTGGTGTTTGTGGGTTTTTGTTCCAGTTGGTCATTGTTACCTAGGACGTTACGAGTCGTTTTGTTGTTTTGTATCGTGTTTGCACTTTAACTAATTAAAGTATGTTCGCTCAACACGCTGCGCCTTGGTCCTCCTCTATTAACGACGATCGTGACAGTGGCTGACTGAATACTTTTTTCCCCCACTGTAACTAATTTAATTTACTCAGACGAAGAACCTCTGCCAGAGGCATAAACTCTTCATATTTCTTATATCTGGAAATTATATTAGGCTCAAAATGGGATCCTTGTTAGATCCTATCAGACCTGTTTTCTTGTTTATTGCTGATGACCTCATACTCCCAATTAAACAAAACTGAATGTGCTCGCCATTCATTGGCACAACAAAAGACCCATTGAGAAAAGATTCAGTTTATACAACCTTGATGTTTTTCTGTTGGTAAACAGAGGTTTCTTTTCAATGGTTTTATCGCCATGACGGCTTGAGGAATCTAGTTCTGATCTTTAGTTGACCATCTGTGTTGTCTGAAAAGTAAAAGGTTAACTCTCTCTATGGCTCATGGTATTGCTCTATTTTGTGCTCACTTTATGTAATCTCTTTCACTAAACCATTACACGGGTCTGGGCATTGAAGGGATGTTGGAGTCACGTGGAGACCATGTTGACCAAATCAATCTTTCCCCGGAGGGATTCCTGTGCTTTTTGAAGGCCTAATATTTCAGTGTTTACCCAGACAAGAAAATAACCAATGTTTGCCTGGTGGGATTGTTGGGTCTGGTCTGGGTGTTGGGAAATGGAGCGTTAAGCCAATGTCTAACAGCTTCTCCCTTGCTACTGTGGTGTGTGTGTGTGTGTGTGTGTGTGTGTGTGAGTGAGAGACTATACAAGTAACTCAAAAATGCTGTTCACAGTTTGCTGAACGCACAAAACATGATCCAGGAGGGGATTCTCTGCTGTTACCAAGCAAATGCTTGATTTGTGAAGAAGCTAACCACTTAGCTAGATAGCAAATATTTAGTTGTGAATTCCATACTGTCATTAGATCAGTATGGAATTCTGATTCATGCTGCACAACAGTGAGTGACTCACAAGGCTACGGTCTCTCCTCGTTGTGTGCTTGTAAACAAACAATGTGACGTGACTGGGGACTACCGTATGCTTCCTAATAACGTGACAGGTGAAATGAAGAACACAATGTTCTTTATCTCCTGACCTATTGCACAAGTTGGCTGCAGGTATTTGCTTAAAAAGTAGCTACAAATATGACAATTTATTTAAAAAATCAAATAAATAGTTTTGACGGTATTGAAAAACCATCCAGTGGCTTTTTCCAAATACCACGGTATACGGTATATACGGTTGTCACGAACGTTGAGAGACGGGTCGGACCAAGGTGCAGCGTGAAAAGCGTACATGTTTATTTACTCAATAAACATACAACAAAAAAGAAACAATGTAACGTGAAGTCCTCAGGCTATACACATACACGCCTAAACGGAACAAGATCCCACAACTAAGGTAGGCAACGAGGCTACCTAAGTATGATCCCCAATCAGAGACAACGAACGACAGCTGTCTCTGATTGGGAATCACACCCGGCCAAACATAGAAACACAACCTAGAACTGCAACATAGAAATAGACTAACATAGATCTCAAATAGACATTCACACCCTGACTCAACAAACAAGAGTTCCATAGGTCAGGGCGTGACAACGGTATACCACCCAAAGCCTATTGTTCAGTATGTGTAGACTCATCTCAAAAAGGCAGATGGTTGGGATTCTATTAGATTTTTCCGTATTTTTCTTGTTTGACTTTGTGAATTTAAGTATTTGCAGTTAATCGTTTGGTTTATCATCTCCAGGTCAACTAACAATAACGCTCCCGTTTTCTCTCTCTTCCTCTCATCTTTTCTCTTTTCCTATTTTCTCTTTCTGTTTCTCTCTTTCTTTTTCTCTCCCTCATCATATTGCTCTTTATTCTCCCTTCCCTTTCCCTCTTTCTCCCTCTCCCCTCTCTCTATAGCTGTATTGTCCATCGTGGGGAACTTGCTGGTGCTCATTATAGCATTTAAGCACTCATCTCACATGAAGCCCCCGGAGCTGCTGAGTGTCAACCTGGCGGTAACAGACCTGGGAGCTGCTGTCGCCATGTACCCTCTGGCTGTGGCCTCGGCCTGGAACCACCGCTGGCTGGGAGGAGACACCACATGCATCTACTACGGCCTGGTAGGCTTCTTCTTTGGCACGGCCAGCATAATGACCCTGACCGTGATGGCTGTGGTGCGCTTCGTTGTCTCCCTCAGCCTCCAGTCTCCCAGTGAGTATATAGAGCATATGGAGCAGTAGTACCACAGGGATTGATGTTAGGACCATTGGAATTTGTGTATGTTTTAGGGCTGTTCGAGTGAGTGAGTGAGTGAGTGAGTGAGTGAGTGAGTGAGTGAGTGATACCACCACTTGGCATCATAGGAACATTTTGGAAAGTAATTGTGAATGTTTGGAATAAAAAACACACAAACAAGGAAGCATTTACAAAAGTGGAGTGTGGTTAGGGGCCCCAACTGATTTCTCAATGCCCACCAAGCATTTGCCATGACTTGCCCTCATGGGTTGAGGATCAAACATGCCGGCTAGGCAAAGGTTTGAACACCCCCTTTCCTAGGGGCCAGTTTTATGACCGGTCGTAAATACCGTGCAGACTTTCTTTTCCTTGCCATGAAGTATTGGGAGAAAGGACCCCTTTGTTAACAAAGGAAGTCTTCCTGCCAAGACTCCAACATCCAAAAGTGGATAATGAAACAATATTCCTACTTAAAAGAATGTGGGAAATGGTTGGTGGGGACTTAAAGAACAATCATGTCAAATTCGTTACTATGTTGTGATGTCATTAAAGACGGTTGAACAACATAACTGTGTCTCTGGGGGGCTACACTTTTATGAGGTTTGCATCTAATTGTTGTATAAAACGAATGATTAAGTATAATAATACTTTTCTGAAGATAACAATGTGATTTTAGCATTCTAGATGAGATGATTGTTTTCTATATTGATTTGTTCTCAGTCAGTGGCCACGCCTAGATGAGCACAAACATGACGGAAGGCCCCTATTAGGCATAAAAAGCCTTGAAAAACATTTTAACATTAGACCAGCAAGCCCCACGGCTTAAAATAGTTGAAACTCTACAGACCAGCAGACGTGAAGCGTGAGCTAAACGTTACAAAATGGTTTAAAACTACAACTCCATTACCAAAGGAAGACAAAGCATACTACGATATAAGCCGGATGTTGCAAATGGTTGAATTTCTACAAGACCAGGAAGCGTGAAGCTGAAGCTACACCTTACAAAATGGTAAGACCAGAAAACATGAGACGTTAGTCCACACGTTTGAAATGGAGAAACTCTGAAACTCTCAACCTCTACACGAGGTGATGAAGAAGACAATGCACTAGACCTTATCATTTCAGTCTGCAGCTGGCATGTATAGTCGTCTAGAGAACTTTCACTAAAGACACGAAGTGGGAAGGACAATCCCTCTCCGACAACCGCTGGTACGTCTGAAGTACCCATTCTAACCACTACTCCGATCAGAAACTCTACCAAGGACATCTCTGGTGGGCAAACCAGAGTCTTACATCATCAACTCAACTATCGAGGACAGCTACACATAAATACATGTTGCATTTCTAATCCGAATGAGCGTTTAGTGGGATTTTAAGCGTTTGTATTTCTGTGAGCATAGTTTCCAAAGTAACCACGATAGTTTGAATCTCTGTCTCTCCCTTCCACTCTGACCCTCCTTCTACCCAAGCAGTCATGCTATTGTTAGTCCAGTCCACTAGGGACCTGTTTTCATTGTATTACGTTAGTAATCAATAACCTACAGTGGGGAAAAAAAGTATTTAGTCAGACACCAATTGTGCAAGTTCTCCCACTTAAAAAGATGAGAGAGGCCTGTAATTTTCATCATAGGTACACGTCAACTATGACAGACAAAATGAGATTTTTTTTCTCCAGGAAATCACATTGTAGGATTTTTAATGAATTTATTTGCTAATTATGGTGGAAAATAACTATTTGGTCAATAACAAAAGTTTCTCAATACAAAGATTTTCTATCGGGTTGAGATCTGGAGACTGGCTAGGCCACTCCAGGACCTTGAAATGCTTCTTACGAAGCCACTCCTTCGTTGCCCGGGCGGTGTGTTTGGGATCATTGTCATGCTGAAAGACCCAGCCACGTTTCATCTTCAATGCCCTTGCTGATGGAAGGAGGTTTTCACTCAAAATCTCACGATACATGGCCCCATTCATTCTTTCCTTTACATGGATCAGTCGTCCTGGTCCCTTTGCAGAAAAACAGCCCCAAAGCATGATGTTTCCAACCCCATGCTTCACAGTAGGTATGGTGTTCTTTGGATGCAACTCAGCATTCTTTGTCCTCCAAACACGACGAGTTGAGTTTTTACCAAAAAGTTCTATTTTGGTTTCATCTGACCATATGACATTCTCCCAATCCTCTTCTAGATCATCCAAATGCACTCTAGCAAACTTCAGACGGGCCTGGATATGTACTGGCTTAAGCAGGGGGACACGTCTTGCACTGCAGGATTTGAGTCCCTGGCGGCGTAGTGTGTTACTGATGGTAGGCTTTGTTACTTTGGTCCCAGCTCTCTGCAGGTCATTCACTAGGTCCCCCCGTGTGGTTCTGGGATTTTTGCTCACCGTTCTTGTGATCATTTTGACCCCACGGGGTGAGATCTTGCGTGGAGCCCCAGATCGAGGGAGATTATCAGTGGTCTTGTATGTCTTCCATTTCCTAATAATTGCTCCCAAAGTTGATTTCTTCAAACCAAGCTGCTTACCTATTGCAGATTCAGTCTTCCCAGCCTGGTGCAGGTCTACAATTTTGTTTCTGGTGTCCTTCGACAGCTCTTTGGTCTTGGCCATAGTGGAGTTTGGAGTGTGACTGTTTGAGGTTGTGGACAGGTGTCTTTTATACTGATAACAAGTTCAAACAGGTGCCATTAATACTGGTAACGAGTGGAGGACAGAGGAGCCTCTTAAAGAAGAAGTTACAGGTCTGTGAGAGCCAGAAATCTTGCTTGTTTGTAGGTGACCAAATACTTATTTTCCACCATAATTTGCTAATAAATTCATTAAAAATCCTACAATGTGATTTTCTGGATTTTTTTCTCTCAATTTGTCTGTCATAGTTGACGTGTACCTATGATGAAAATTACAGGCCTCTCTCATCTTTTTAAGTGGGAGAACTTGCACAATTGGTGGCTGACTAAATACTTTTTTCCCCCACTGTGTGTGTGTGTGTGTTTGTATTGTGTTTTTATTTAGTTAGTTAGTAAATAAATAATTAAGCCAATTTGTGTATTGTTGATTCATCAATAAGTTTAGGGTTCTTGCAGGTTCAAGGATTATGCGACGTTCAGAATGAGACTGATAAGAGGTAATTATTTAATAAGTGACTGTTATTGATATATAACATATATATCTTCTAAGTTTAAGTCGAGTTTAATTTGGGAGATGGTAACTCGTTAAACATTTTGGTGCCCAAAATTCCTATTGAGTTAATTGTTACATGATTAATTTAATCGAGTGACAATTAAACATAGACAGGGGATTCGATAAATAACAGTCATACATTAAAGTAAGTCACGTCACGACACATTTAAACCTGAAATATACCTCTTGTTTTTGAAGAGTACAACCTAGAAATAGCTTTTAAATAGGAACAGATAAACTATATAAAGCTTCTCAAATGATAATCTCACTCTCACAGATCAGGTAAAATGTCTCAAATCCGGACCTTGAGGTCAGAAGTGTAATATATACCACTTAGCAGACGCTTTTATCCAAAGCATCTTACAATATAGTGAGTGCTTACATGTTTGGTATGCGTATGTGATCCATGCAGGACATGAGCTCATGGCCTTTCCGTTGCTAGTGTTCTTACCAACTGAGCCACACAGGAAGTACTGCTCTCCCCCTAAACCTCTTAGTGACCCGTTGTCTGTGTGTGTTTCCCTAGAGGAGAAGATCAGCCGGAGGAACGTGAAGCTGCTGTGTTTGTGGACGTGGCTCTACGCCTTGCTGTGGGCCTGCTTCCCTCTCCTGGGCTGGGGCCGGTACGGTCCGGAGTCCTTCGGCCTTTCCTGCACCCTGGCCTGGGGAGAGATGAAGGAACAAGGCTTCTCCTTCGTCATCTCCGTCTTCTCCTTCAACTTGCTGGGGCCCTCCTTCATCATCCTCTGCTGCTACTTTGGCATCGCCTTGAAGCTGTACATTACCTACAAGTCCCTCGACAACATCAACCAGATCCCCAACATCGTCAAGATGCACCGCCGCCTTCTCATAGTGAGTGGCTTGCTGACTTTTAATTCCTTTAATTCCTATAGAGTTGTTTTTGTCACACCGTCTTAATTTAAAGGGATTTTTTAAGGACTATAATAAGGACATTATACAGGCCTATTTACACATACGTTTAACTTTATACATATTATGACATTGTATAAGTTATATTATACTGAACAAAAATAGAAATGCAACAATCAACAGTTACAGTTCATATCAGGAAATCAGTCAATTGAAATAAATTCATTAGGCTATAATCTATGGATTTCAGATGACTGGGAATACAGATATGCTAGTCACAGATACCTTTTTAAAAATGTAGGGGTGTGGATCAGAAAACCAGTCAGTATCTGGTGTGACCACCATTTGCCTCATGCAGCACGACACATCTCCTTCGCATAGAGTTGATCAGGCTGTTGATTGTGGCCTGTGGAATGTTGTTCCACTCCTCTTCAATGGCTCTGCGAAGTTGCTGGATATTGGCGGGAACTGGAACACGTTGTCATACACGTCGATCCAGAGCATCCCAAACATGGGTGACATGTCTAATGAGTATGCAGGCCGTGGAAGAACTGGGACATTTTCAGCTTCCAGGAATTGTGTACAGATCCTTGCGACATGGGGCTGTGCATTATCATGCTGAAACATGAGGTGATGGTGGCGGATGAATGGCATGACAATGGGCCTCAGGATCTCGTCACGGTATCTCTGTGCATTCAAATTGCCAACAATAAAATGCAATTGTGTTCGTTGTCCGTAACTTATTGCCTGCCCATAACATAACCCAACCGCCACCATGGGGCACTCTGTTCACAACATTGGCATCAGCAAACCGCTCGCCCACACAACACCATACACGTGGTCTACGGTTGTGAGGCTGGTTGGACGTACTGCCTAATTCTCTATAACGACATTGGAGGCAGCTTATGGTAGAGAAATGAACGTTCAATTCTCTGGCAACAGCTCTGGTAGACATTCCTGCAGTCAGCATGCCGATTGCACGCTCCCTCAAAACGTGAGACATGTGGCATTGTGTTGTGTGACAAGACTGCACATTTTAGAGTGGCCTTTTATTGTCCCCAGCATAATGTGCACCTGTGTAATGATCAGGCTGTTTAATCAGCTTATTGGTATGCCACACCTGTCAGATGGATGGATTATCTTGGCAAAGGAAATAATGCTCACTAACAGGGACGTAAACAAATTTGTGCACAAAATTTGAGATAAAGAAGCTTTTTGTGCGTATGGGACATTTTTGGGATCTTTTATTTCAGCTCATGAAACATGGGACCAACACTTTACATGTTGCATTTATATTTTTGTTCATTGTATAGAATTATAACTTTATTTAATGAGTTGAATGAATGAAACTGCGTCTTTCACTATGGGCTCTATTTTAGGCTGGGGTTAAACCGGCACAATTGTCAAACGCACGCTCGTTTAAATATCGACCTGTTAAAGCCGACGTTGTTCTATTTTCAAAACCCTAGCACCAGGATTGGTAATTTACCTTTTTTTAATTAGCTCACTCGCGCTGAGGTGGGATGGTTTGCAATATCTGAGGTGTGTCCTTAGAAATGTGCGTCAAAGTGCCAATTTCAGTGTGCACTAGTGGGGATATTTAAGACCAACTGAAAGCTGGTCTTAGTGGTAACACAGTTGGTTATGGCATGAATTTTGACAATGGAAGCGCAGCCTAACCACATGACGCACAGTGCCCATATGTACATGGAACAAGAATGATGTGCTTTTTGTGCCTGTAAACCTTGTGTTTAGTTTCATTAGCTAAAAAACCAAGCATAGCCTCCCCTCTCAATGAAGGCTGTTTTTTTTTGTCATGCCTAATTCATTCGCCAAGTAGTCAAGTCTAAGGACCTGTAATGGTCCAAACACACCAACACAGTCGTGAAGAGGGCACGACAACGCCTCTTCCCCTTCAGGAGGCCGAAAAGATTTGGTATGGGCCCTCAGAGCCTCAAAAAGTTATACAGCTGCACTATTGAGAGGATCTTGACTGGCTGCATCATCGCTTGGTATGGCAACTGCTTGGCCCTAAAAATTGTCAAAGACTCCAGCCACCCAAATCATAGACTGTTCTCTCTGCTACTGCACGGTAAGAACAGTTGAGACTTCTGGCCACTCTTCCATAAAGGCCTGATTGGTGGAGTGCTGCAGAGATGGTTGTCCTTCTGGAAGGTTCTTCCATCTCCACAGAGGAACTCAAGAGCTCTGTCAGAGTGACCATCGGGTTCTTGGTCACCTAATTAATGGTGCCGGAGAAGATGGCTGCCATTTTACAGCCCTCTAACCAATTGTACTATTATGTGTGTTTATTCGCGTTATTTGTAATTTATTCTGTACATAATGTTTCTGCCACCGTCTCTTATGACCAAAAAGAGCTTCTGGATACAGGACAGCGATTACTCACCTCGTATTGGATGAATACTTTTTCTTCAACGAGTCGGACGCAAAGGATATTCTACAGACACCCGACAAGGCCCAAATCACCGTCATTCGCATAAGAAAGAGATGGAGATATCGTGATATGTTTCACCGAGTCATGGCTGAACGACGACATGGATAACATACAGCTGGTGGGATATACGGTACATCGGCAGGATAGAACGGCTGACTCCGGTAAGACAAGGGGTGGCGGTCTGTGTATATTTGTAAACAACAGCTGGTGCATAAAATCTAATACTAAGGAAGTCTCAAGGTTTTGCTTGCCTGAGGTAGAGTATCTCATGATAAGTTGTAGACCACACTATTTACCAAGAGAGTTTTCATCTATATTTTTCGTGGCTGTCTATTTAACACCACAAACCGATGCTGGCACTAAGATTGCACTCAGTGAGCTGTATAAGGCCATAAGTGAACAGGAAAGCGCTCATCCAGAGGCAGCGCCCCAATGGACGGGGACTTTAATGCAGGGAAATTTTAATCCGTTCTACTTAATTTCTACCAGCGTGTTAAATGTGCAACCAGAGAGAAAAAAACTCTAGACCACCTTTACTCCACACACAGAGACGCGTACAAAGCTCTCCCTCGCCCTCCATTTGGAAAATAACTCTATCCTCCTGGTTCCTGCTTATAAGCAAAAACGAAAGCAGGAAGCACCAGTGACTCGGTTAATAAGGAAGTGGTCAGATGACGCAGATGCTAAGCTACAGGACTGTTTTGCTAGCACAGACTGGAATATGTTAAGTGATTCTTCCGATAGCATTGAGGAGTACACATTTAAGTCATTTAGCAGACGCTCTTCTCCAGAGCGACTTACAAATTGGTGCATTCAACTTAGGATAGCCAGTGGGACAACCAGCCTTTTTTTAATGGGTGGGTGGGGGAGGGGGGGTAGAAGGATTACTGTTATACTATTCCAGGTATTCCTTAAAGAGGTAGGGTTTCAAGTGTCTCCGAAAGGTGGTCAGTGACTCCGCTGTCCTGGCGTCGTGGGGGAGCTTGTTCCACCATTGGGGTGCCAGAGCAGCGAATAGCTTTGACTGGGCTGAGCGGGAACTGTGCTTCCGTAGAGGTAGGGGGGCTAGCAGGCCAGAGGTGGATGAACGTAGTGCCCTCGTTTGGGTGTATGGTCTGATCAGAGCCTGAAGGTAAGGAGGTGCCGTTCCCCTCACAGCTCCGTAGGCAAGCACCATGGTTTTGTAGTAGATGCGAGCTTCATCTGGAAGCCAGTGGAGTGTGCGGTGGAGCGGGTGACATGAGAGAACTTGGGAAGGTTGAACACCAGACGGGCTGCAGCGTTCTGGATAAGTTGTAGGGGTTTAATGGCACAGGCATGGAGCCCAGCCATCAGCGAGTTGCAGTAATCCAGACAGGAGATGACAAGTGCCTGGATTAGGACCTGTGCCGCTTTCTGTGTAAGGTAGGGTCGTACTCTGCGAATGTTGTAGAGCATGAACCTGCAGGATCGGGTCACCGCTTTGATGTTAGCGGAGAACGACAGGGTGTTGTCCAGGGTCACGCCAAGGTTCTTTGCACTCTGGGAGGAGGACACAATGGAGTTGTCAACCGTGATGGCGAGATCATGGAGCGGGCATTCCTTCCCCGGGAGGAAGAGCAGCTCCGTCTTGCCGAGGTTCAGCTTGAGGTGGTGATCCGACATCCACACTGATATGTCTGCCAGACATGCAGAGATGCGATTCACCACCTGGTTATCAGAAGGGGGAAAGGAGAAAATGAATTGTGTGTCGTCTGCTTAGCAATGATAGGAGAGACCATGTGAGGATATGACAGAGCCAAGTGACTTGGTGTATAGAGAGAATAGGAGAGGGCCTAGAACTGAGCCCTGGGGGACACCAGTGGTGAGAGCACGTGCTGCGGAGACAGATTCTCCCCACGCCACCTGGTAGGAGCGACCTGTCAGGTAGGACGCAATCCAAGAGTGAGCAGCGACGGAGATGCCCAACTTGGAGAGGGGGGGCCGGTATGAAAAATAAAAAATAATGTATGCACTCACTAACTGTAAGTCGCTCTGGATAAGAGCGTCTGCTAAATGACTAAAATGTAATGTAAAATGAGAGGGTGGAGAGGAGGATCTGATGGTTCACAGTATCAAAGGCAGCAAATAGCTAGAAGGATAAGAGTAGAGGAGAGAGAGTTAGCTTTAGCAGTATGGAGAGCCTCCGTGACACAGAGAAGAGCAGTCTCAGTTGAATGACCAGTCTTGAAACCTGACTGGTTTGGATCAAGAAGGTAATTCTGAGAGAGATAGCAGGAGAGTTGGCTAGAGACGGCACGCTCAAGAGATTTGGAGAGAAAATAAAGAAGGGATACTGGTCTGTAGTTGTTGACATCGGAGGAATCGAGTGTCGTTTTTTTGAGGAGGGGTGCAACTCTCGCTCTCTTGAAGATGGAAGGGACATAGCCAGCGGTCAAGGATGAGTTGATGAGCGAGGTGAGGTAAGGGAGAAGGTCTCTGGAAATGGTCTGGAGAAGAGAGGGGGATAAGGTCAAGCGGGAAGGTTGTTGGGCGGCCGGCCGTCACAAGTCACAAGATTTCATCTGGAGAGAGAGGGGAAAAAGAAGTCAAAGCATAGGGTAGGGCAGTGTGA